ATTTATATACTTTACTTATTCAACAAATTATGAGCCTCAATAATAGAATACATATTTTCTAATTATTATTCTAATTATAGTTTGGAGCATTCTCATGTCTACTTTTGCTAATTTCATACTAGTATACTTTTTTTTGTTAAAGTAAAAGTTAACACTACTGAAATATACATTAATTTTGGATTCATAGCCATTTCTTGGGGAAGGACCCCTCTAATCCATTCTCTTTATTATCTTTACAGCCAATTACTCAAATATACTGAGAGCCTTAAGATAGTAGAAATTTCTAATGAAATTTCAGGAACAGATTACAGTTTCATTTGGGTACATACGGTAATATCAACTATGCAGTGACCTCCAAAAATTCGAGTTTTTGTTAATATTTTTTACTATGCAAGTTATACATTTGAAAAGATTGATTACTTTTTTTGTTCAATAAATATATTCTTACAAATAGATGTTCTGTGGATCATTTCTATGTAAAGAATCTGTACTTAGAAATTAAGAGAACTAATTTCAAATTTAAACTTACTTGCTTTTTCAACTCAGTACAGCAGCAATCTGTTGTCTTTAAGCATTCTAAATGAAGGAAAAATACATTTAAGTATTTATTCCACTAGTGACAAACTCAAGTGAAAATTAGCTATACTATGTTTCAGAAAGCATATACGGTACATAGCAGATAAATATGCAGGTATTTGTTTGGAAGTACTTACGATTCCCATTACTGCTGTATTTTGCCAAGTTTTCAATTATTAACTGTTCTGCTATATCCACAACACGATTTTCACTCTTTTTTTGCACAATTACTGTATAAATATTTTGAGTAACGTCTTTCACTGTAATTATGACATGCTTATTCATTAAGAGACTATTCAGCTTCCCTATTGCTGATATGGACCACGTTCCATCCAGTCCCATAATACCTGGAATTGAGAGAAACTATATGATGGTTCAAACGTTCAAAGAGGTTTCACTCAACTCTATACAGAATGGTAATGTTAGAATCATTTTTAGAGCTCAACTTAATATTCAGCATCAATTCGATAAAGGAAGATTCGTCTCTTTAATATCCCCCAGACATCAATACACTTCACTGAATCTCTGACACATCAAGAGACTTTTAGGACATAACTAAGACAAAAAAAAGAGGGGGGGGGAAGCTTATTCAAGCAAGGGAGTGAACTCTCCCTGAATCAATTTTAAAGTTTTTTTATGCTGATACTAATATGTCACTAATACAATTTCATGTGAATAACTAAATTTATAGCACAAATTTCATCTGAATCTGTAATTTTCATAATTATGAAAAACTGAAAAAGAAGTATGTAGCCTGCCCTCTGGCACACTTTTCTTTGCATTTAATATCTGATCTTTCTTCTCTTGTGGTTATCCAGAAGCAGCAAAAAAAGAAAAGAAACTCACTAGGATTATTAATTCATTAGATTTAATGCTATGCAGACATAAAACAAATATATGATTCCAGAATGGAATTAAAATAAAATATTTACTTTTTGACAAATTGAACTGGTTTGCTTGTTACCTGCTAAGGAACATTTAAGTATTTGAAATGGCAATTGTAAGTAGGGGGAAGTTATAGGCTGAAGTCTAGAGAAAGGCAACATTTCCACATTTCCATAATCCGCATATACTACTTTGACTTCGGATACATTTATTTCCAAAACAAGAGCACGGTACCATTTGTCATCACCTAAAATAGGGGAGCCAAAAATCAAGACTGAGAAGGTCATCATTACAGACAAACTAATCAACTGCATATATGCAAATGCTCTTAAAATTCTCTTAACTATTATGAACATTTCACTCACTCCAATTAAGTCTTGGTTAACCAAATCTTAACCAAATCTTGATTAACTCACTTGTTGCTCTTCTACCCAACTGTTTCTTCAATGAGTTTTTTTACATAGCAAAATAGGGAGAATGTCCCTATTTCTAAACTGAAGAGTGAAAGGTGAAAAGGGGAGAAGTCTTAAAAGAAAGTATCTTTTTAAAAGAGAAAACTAGTTCTGTTTAATATACAATAGTGCTATCAGTGTACCTATAGTGCACCGATTATAACTGTTTGAGAATTCTCCCAAATAAACAAGCAAGTCATATTTGAGGTACAACTTATTTTGGAAGGAATACATTTCCTTAAATTTAGAAGGGGTTAATTCAAATAGCAAGGGTGGTAGATGATAATGGAAAACCTCTCTTTCTAATTTAAACTGTCATCTACCTACAAACTCAAAACAAGTTTAAAAAAGAATGGGACTATGGAAGTTGTTTAAGAGGGAGACAGCCCAGAATAAGCAGTATGACCAAACACCATCACAACAGTGGAAGCATAGAGTCCCTCGCAGCGGTTTATTTCTTCATAGCTTGTTCTTAGTGAAGTCACATCCAGAATATTTCCCTCATTGTGACACATATTCCTTAAAGACCTCCTTAAAGACCTACTGATATTCCTTGAAGACCTACTGAATGGACCTTTGTTCCATTCCAAATAAACACCCCTCCTGGCCTAAGTCACTAGCAGAAGAGACATTGTTGTATCTCCTAATTGCAAAAGGTTAGGAAATCAATGTCATTAATAAAAACAGAACAGAAAACTTAAATAATTTTCTATTTAAAATAATCACATTCTGCCTTGCTTTTGAATCAAACCAAACAATTCAGAACAACATGTTTGCTTTTTCCATGCATAAGCTGCTGAGCCCAACTGTTCTGAATTTAGTGTAATTAACTTTTCCTGTGAATCAAAAAAATTGTCTCCTTTACTGACCACCTAATATAACTACTGAAATTGTGAAGTAATCAATTTTATTATTACAGCTCTCCAGTAGCTATTGGAATCGTGTTAAATCACTAAATGCATATATTGATTTCTGAGTTTAAATGAAATAAACTTAAATACATTAAAATGATGCTGCTTTCATCTAATCCACGAATCTCTGCAGAACATTCTACAGTAAGTAAAATTTTTATTTTATCCATTTATTTAAACACAAACATTTCAGTTTTCCAAGTCCATTCCCTCACCTGAGAACCTGGCACAACAGGGTTCACCAATCTTTGGTTGGAAGATGCTATCTTTTTCAGCACNAACAGAAACATCTTTTATATGAACTATAGAGGTTAAAGAAGAGATACTGTCTGTCGTTATTCATGTAAGAAGCACCTACAAAACCAACCGAAGGGTGCTTTTGGATTGAAAGGATTTGCCAATGACAACACTGTTGCCCAGGGGACACTCAATTGCCAAAAATAATGCAATCTTTGGGGAGGTTCCTTGTGTTCTCCCACTGGTCAAAGCATCACTCAGCTCATGCGATATTTCCTGGGGTACTCACAGATTACTATAAAAATATTTCTGAGAATTTACAGAGAAATAACAGGACTAAGTTGTTCTAATTAAGACAGTCCTACTATCGTGTTCAAAATCAATATATACATTTTTGCTAAGTGTATTCAAAAATAAAGACTTTCTTGGAAGAATGATATACATATCAATACAATTGGTATATACCATGTATTACAGAGGCACAATTAAAAAATGAAGCCTTAAGGCAGAGGTTCCCATCCTTTTCTATACCATCACCCCTAGAACACTTCTGATATATTCCCAGAGCCCTTACAAAAGTAAATAATTATATGCATATAAAATATGATTTTGAAACTTCTAAGCACAAGTTTTTGCACCCCTTGGAATATCGTCTCACCCTCCCAGGGGGCATGAGAACACCCGATTGGAACCCCCTGCCTTAAGGATTTCTTTACAATAAGTCATTGTTCCATCAATACTGAATTATAATTATTTGTTTCCTACCTGCTAGGGTACAATTCATAGCTTGCATTGGTAATTCCATTAATTTCTGAACAATTGGTCGAAGTCTATTTAACTGTAGCATTTCAACGTTTCCATAATCTATGTATCCCACTAAAGCCATTTTCTCTGAAATAAAGGATATTACTGTTGCACGATACCACTGGTTATCTTCTGAAGAAAAAAAATGTGGAAGTCAGTCATATTTAATCTTAACAATTTCTTCTTTAAAAGTGTATCAGTCGTGATACAACAAAGAAAACTACAATGTTAAAATACAATATAAAGTTTGATGTAAAAAATAAAAATACAAAATTATAATGTGCCCTATACACAAATAGAGGCAATAACAAGAGACAGTTCTAATTTATCCTCTTAAAAAAACAAGGTACACTGAGCCTATCAGAAGGCCAGCAAACTTTTATTGCTTATTTTAAAATGAAAATATTTGTGCTGCAAAAAGAATAATATATGGTATATGAAATAGAAGGGAATAGAGAAAGAGATTTGCCAAAAGCTGCTGAACCAAAAAAGCTTTACATTTTATAGTAGCTGAAGTTTCAGTAACAGTCTTATACTATTTTTGTTTCCCTTCTAATAGTTCCATCTCAGTGCTAATGGTAAACCTGAAGCTGGAATTTTAAAAATTACTTACCAAACTCGGTTTTAGAAAACAGCACCCAAAAGAGAATGTATTTATTTGTGGTCATATAATACTTCTAATGACGGTACAGATTTCTTCAAAGAGAGCTAAATGTTTCATTATTTAATAGTGCATTAACATCCTAATTTTTTACCGATAGTTTTAATTTGTTTTAACTTACTATAATAAATGCAGGCTAAGAAAGCTAACAGTCCAGCTTTTGTTTACTTTTGTATCATTAATATAAAAGTCAAGCAGGTTTATGTTCAATTGCATTATAAAGCCTTAATAAATACATATTAGCGGCTAGCCATTATTCTCGCTGTTTCTTTTCTATGCTGAACATTAGATTCCAAGTATTTTAGAGGTTTGATGACCTATTCTTTAAATAGACACATAATACTAGTACAAATAGAAATGATATAATAATGATACCGGTGATAATAATAAAAAATATTCAAGCAGTCTCTTCCTCCTCCATACCTGTAAACTGAGCACAACACACATCTCCTACCGCTGGGCAAAAATCTGGGGTGATCGAGGTATTTTCACAATATTCACGTAGGGATACTTGAAGTTGAGAAAGTTTGCCTAATAACACATATACTTACATGAAAATTGCTATATAAAAAAGAGCAAAAGATGTTTAAAAAATACATAGTTTTAGTAACATTGCCCGTTTTAGCCTACTAAGACTTTCAATTGGACCTGAAATCAATTATTTATATAGCTCATGATAAATTGTAAAACAATTTTCAGACTGCATTTTACATTTTAATGCTGTATCAGCCTGAAGTTTACATTTTAATGCTGTTCTTTTCCCATTCTCATTTATCACACAGAAATATCTACATCTTATCTCAATAATTTATTAAATGCAGAAAATATACAGGTGCACAAGTATTTATATCTCAACACAAAAGAAGGACTTACAGCCATTTACTGTCTGTTGACAAAAAAAAATTCCTGGGTTTTGTACGTGGGCAACCATGCCAAAAAATGTATGTCCTGTAGATACTGAGACAATCTTTGGAGTTAAGCAATCAGTATGATCCAGTTCTTTCCATTCCACTTTATTTTCTAGAACTGATTTTTTTCCCACAGTATGATCTAAGGGGAAAATAATACTTAAAGTCTGATTTGCAAGGTCTAGTTATATATTTAAGAATCTGTGTAGAAAGATCCCTCACCTTTCTAACTAACCACTATTAAAATAAGTACCTGCTACCTATTATAATATTCAATCTATGAATGCCAATACAATCAAACCAAAGTTTACAAAGGTACATGAAATTCATTAGTGAAAGGGAAAATATTCCCTCTANCCTGTCACCTCTCGGGAAGCTTTAGAAGCCAGGAGAGACATGGGTCTAAAACACAGGGCTTGCGTGCATACTCCCTAGAATCCTGACCACTCTTCAGGAGTGACAGGGTCAAACCATCCCAGATAACAGGGTAAGAACCTGCCTCAGGGGCGTCCATCAGACCAGCAATCATGCCGGCATGTAATTGGGAACAAAGTGGAGCAATTTTCTTTTCCAGAAAATCTGCAAATTCCTCTGCGCACTCCTTTAGGTGGACCTCAATTTCCTCCTCCCCATAAGGAGGCGGCTCATCTAAAAGAGGGTTGCTGGGTGATTACCTGCAGATGCAATTAGTGCAGAGAAGTATTTACATTTCGCAGCATGAATCCCTATAATGTAGGCCTTAGCGTCTCTTACCATGTTTGATCAAGTTCATACCCTATCTTCCCCAGCAGCGCTCTAGAAGTACCTTCATTCATTTCATCCCTCTCAGTTCCTCCATGGAGATCAAGAGAGGTCTACGGGTAAGGAGAGGTTGCATGGATGCAATCCTATCCAGAGCCTCAGTCACCTTCCTATTCCAAACAATGACTAAGAGCTTGACTGGATTGCACAGCAGATCTGCAGTTATAACCCCCAGCTCCTTCTGGAACCCATCGGGGTCCATTGGTTGACAGGAGCAGACCAATCTAATAGGTCCTACCTCCCTGCAGGGGGTACAGCTCTTGAGAAATTCATTGCCACCAGACTGCAACATAGCAGGGAGGCTGGTACAGCACCAGAAATCCCACCTGATTCCTTGAGCACAACTTAAGAAAAAGGGTCTCACAGCTGGGCACTTGTGGAGCAGTGCCACATATCCAACAAGGGTATTTCTCCAGAAAGAAAAAAGGCACTTTGGTAGAAATAAGTGCAGAATGTACTTATTTTATGTCAGTAGGTATATAGTTCCAGGACTGTATACATATTTATTTGATTAATTTTCTGGTAATTAAACAAAGAAAGTTATACCATAGACTTGTGCAATTTAGTTTTTGAGAAGATACTTATACCTGCAAATTGCATAAACATTCTTATCTCTATAGCAGATTAGAATTGTTTTTCATTAGCTATATTGCTTTGGTGATCACACTAACACATCACAGTTAGGGTTTACTTCAGGATATTTCTTCAAGTCTTTTTAATTCCTGCTTCATATTTTTCCTAGTTAATGAAACTTCTTCCATAGATTTATGTTCACTATTTTCCAAATACTAGTAATTTGCCTAGTTGCCTCTGTGCACTAGCTTGACGTTTTGAGTTCTCCCATCTTATCCCAAGTTCTCTTTACTGATGTGTCAGCATACATATAACATTTAATTATTTTGCTCCAAATTACAATATATTTATTTAAATAGAATGTTTATTATGTTAATTCCCTTTTCCTGAAGCTAGCAAACCTATTTCTAGCCCCAAGTGGGATTAGAAAGCAAAAGAGGAAAAAGAGATGTACCGTCTTCGTTTAATAACTGGCAATAGAACTTGCTGGGGTTGTACAACACAGAGACCATGACATTTACCACCTGTTTATCTGTTAATGTGACCCAAGACCAATTAACAGGCTCCTGCTTTTCACCTATAGGAAAGGAAAAGTGAATATGAAGATCTACTACAACTATGTCTTAATAACCCTCTTAATAAAATAAATTAATCTATACAAGAAACAATACACATATAACCTACTAAAATATCTATCAATTCTATTCAGTTTTAAAAGAATCCGTTTTAATTTCAACATTAATGTCAACTGGTAACTGGATAAAATATAACAAATAATATATAAAATTCTAAATAATGTAAGGAGTGGGCATTGCCCAAAAGATCCATGAACATGCCACTTTGTGCTTACTAGTCTTTTTTCTGTCTGAATTTTACAAAATAATTTGAACATTCATGTCATGCCACAAAATAAATCATCAGTCTGACATAATATTTCTTTGCAGAAATAGTGCTGGGTTTCATAAACTTTAAAGTAATTAGATTTTATGTTGGATAGCTAATTTATCTTCAGAGAAAAAACATAGTTTTTGTAGGCCCCACCCATAATGGCAGCCACTTTTTAAAACCATACCTTGTTCTCTAAAATCCACATTTGTTTCTGACCCTAAAAAAGTACCTATCCTTGTCCTAATCGTTAGAATTAACACTAGTAGTTTGTATTCAATCACCATTGTTCTTAAATTCAAGTTATCATCCATATACTATAAAAATAATTTGAATGTTTTAATATGAACTCATTATAGTAATAACTTATACACTTACCATTTGTTTCTTTCATTGTTTCATTCTGTTTCAAAACAATAGGTGCTTCTTCCACTGCATAACCTAACTCTAAAAGACATTTAGATATATTAATTGATGGAGTCACAGATTTATCTGTAATTTCTACAACAAAAGTGTTCATTTTCTTGTCAGTGACTTTTATGGCAACCACTTTATTCTGGACTAGTTGCTTCATGGCAAAAGTTGCTTCTGCCGACCAGGTCCCAGATACTGGTTTCACCCCTGAAAATAGAAGGATCATTTTTAAAAATGTCATACATGAAAACAGACTACCTAGTTTCTCTGCAGCTGAACTATATCTCCCAAGCACTACTTTTAAAGAACAATTCAATATTGCACTACATTTTAGGGATTTTTATTATCCTTACGATATTTGCTTGCTTACCACTTTATCATGTTTCTATGTTCTCTTTGTATGCATCCAAATCGAAACTATTTTTCATACCTAAATAGTGCTATTGAAGACATTTTGTTACATCTCAATGAAGTATTACATCTCTTTTTGGCTAACAAATGAGTAAAAGAGGATTCAATATGTCATTAAAGGATGCAGATTTTTTTTAACCAGATTGGTTTTGATCCTTGTATTACACACCTGTTTAATTTAGCAGGGAGTGTAAAAGGTACTTCCCCACTAAAGGGAACACTGGAAACTATTTACTTACTTGAAGCAGCTGGTTTCAACACATGTGCATTACAGCTATCTCCATAATACAAACTATCTTCACACATGGCATTGGTACCATATTCAGTGAGCCCTAGATCTTACTGAACCAGTACGCTTTTGTCTTACCTGGACTCTGCATTTGTCCATCTTTAATTGCTTAGTTTTTTCAAATATAACAGAAACATCTTTTATATGAACTATAGAGGTTAAAGAAGAGATACTGTCTGTCGTTATTCATGTAAGAAGCACCTACAAAACCAACTGAAGGGTGCTTTTGGATTGAAAGGATTTGCCAATGACAACACTGTTGCCCAGGGGACACTCAATTGCCAAAAATAATGCAATCTTTGGGGAGGTTCCTTGTGTTCTCCCACTGGTCAAAGCATCACTCAGCTCATGCCATATTTCCTGGGGTACTCAGATTACTATAAAAATATTTCTGAGAATTTACAGAGAAATAACAGGACTAAGTTGTTCTAATTAAGACAGTCCTACTATCGTGTTCAAAATCAATATATACATTTTTGCTAAGTGTATTCAAAAATAAAGACTTTCTTGGAAGAATGATATACATATCAATACAATTGGTATATACCATGTATTACAGAGGCACAATTAAAAAATGAAGCCTTAAGGCAGAGGTTCCCATCCTTTTCTATACCATCACCCCTAGAACACTTCTGATATATTCCCAGAGCCCTTACAAAAGTAAATAATTATATGCATATAAAATATGATTTTGAAACTTCTAAGCACAAGTTTTTGCACCCCTTGGAATATCGTCTCACCCTCCCAGGGGGCATGAGAACACCCGATTGGAACCCCCTGCCTTAAGGATTTCTTTACAATAAGTCATTGTTCCATCAATACTGAATTATAATTATTTGTTTCCTACCTGCTAGGGTACAATTCATAGCTTGCATTGGTAATTCCATTAATTTCTGAACAATTGGTCGAAGTCTATTTAACTGTAGCATTTCAACGTTTCCATAATCTATGTATCCCACTAAAGCCATTTTCTCTGAAATAAAGGATATTACTGTTGCACGATACCACTGGTTATCTTCTGAAGAAAAAAAATGTGGAAGTCAGTCATATTTAATCTTAACAATTTCTTCTTTAAAAGTGTATCAGTCGTGATACAACAAAGAAAACTACAATGTTAAAATACAATATAAAGTTTGATGTAAAAAATAAAAATACAAAATTATAATGTGCCCTATACACAAATAGAGGCAATAACAAGAGACAGTTCTAATTTATCCTCTTAAAAAAACAAGGTACACTGAGCCTATCAGAAGGCCAGCAAACTTTTATTGCTTATTTTAAAATGAAAATATTTGTGCTGCAAAAAGAATAATATATGGTATATGAAATAGAAGGGAATAGAGAAAGAGATTTGCCAAAAGCTGCTGAACCAAAAAAGCTTTACATTTTATAGTAGCTGAAGTTTCAGTAACAGTCTTATACTATTTTTGTTTCCCTTCTAATAGTTCCATCTCAGTGCTAATGGTAAACCTGAAGCTGGAATTTTAAAAATTACTTACCAAACTCGGTTTTAGAAAACAGCACCCAAAAGAGAATGTATTTATTTGTGGTCATATAATACTTCTAATGACGGTACAGATTTCTTCAAAGAGAGCTAAATGTTTCATTATTTAATAGTGCATTAACATCCTAATTTTTTACCGATAGTTTTAATTTGTTTTAACTTACTATAATAAATGCAGGCTAAGAAAGCTAACAGTCCAGCTTTTGTTTACTTTTGTATCATTAATATAAAAGTCAAGCAGGTTTATGTTCAATTGCATTATAAAGCCTT